GTTATATCTCTAGCTTGAATCATGCGTGGCGCCTTGTAGGCAGTCGCCTTCATTTTCTCTATCTTTGTGAAGCGAGTGACGCGAGCCGAGACAGTGTCGCCGTGATCCAGCCTGTCTTTGGCTTCAGCGTATAGTTGTCTAGTAGTTGAGTCATATATTGAGTCAACGTACTCATCTCTTGTGTAAGGTGTGACATGACTTCTAAACTTTTTGATGTGCTTGTAGCAAGATGCAACAGCATTTGGTTCGTATTCAGGTGTGCGATGCGGACGATGGCGTTTAGCGTAGGCTGCGAGAGTGTGTAGTGTTATGCTACTCACGTATCATTTTACATTATTTTAAATTCATTTTTCCATTCTGTTTCGATTTTCTGCATTCACCTCAAAACTGGATATTTTACATCACCTTTATTTCCATAGGATCCTGTAACGATTTTAAACCATAAGAACACAATAACAAATCATTTCTACTTCGTATTTTCACATTATCAGCACTTTTAAATTGGTGTCAATGGAGTCTACCTTTTTTCGATCTTTTAGCTAGTTTTCCGTAATTCTACAATCTCGAGCTTTGTGTGGGCAGCTGCGCTACCTTTTTTCCTATATCAATAATATCTCATTTTCCACTTAAATCTTATAGTTTTCTTATTATAAACCTAAAACCAAAATTTGACATGTTTTGTCTTTGTTATTTATATCGTTTCCATGGTAATTATATTCAAATTTGCTACCGATCTGTTATTCCTATTTCGATAATTCCACATAAATCCTCTTTTCTCTTGACCATTTACAAAAAATTTGCGTATAATTTAAATAATTTTTCCGTTCTCTCTAGAAAAGTATAAAAGCCGAACAATCGGTGAAGAAAGGCAGTCTCGCTTCAGTTCGCGAATTGGAAGTATCTCCTAAAGGCCTTATCCCGGGGCCGCACTGCCCCGGGATCCTGCAAGCCTCCATTTACACGTGAAGTCTTCGGCGAAGCCTTCTTCAAACTCGGGCCGCGCCACTCCGGAATCCTGCAAGCCTCCATTTACACGTGAAGTCTTCGGCGAAGCCTTCTTCAAACTCGGGCCGCGCCACTCCGGAATCCTACAAGCCTCCATCTACCTCGGAAGTCGCTTCGAGTCTACTACAAGCGCGGGGTCCACACTACTCCGGGCACTACTACTACTTACTCCAGGCGCCGAGTGCACCTACCGCCGGCGCTACCTTTGGGCGCTGCAACTGCTGGCTCTAAGCGTTGAGCGCCCCTTCTCCAGGCGCTACGTGCGCCGGCTCCGGACGCTGCGTGTACTGGCTCCAGGCGCTGCGCCCCGTCGCTGCTAAGAAACCTACCTCTACAAGCGCAAACGGCGTGTGCTGGCTTCAGGCGCTGCGTGCCGTCGCTGCTAAGAAACCTACCTCTACAAACGCAACGTGTGTCGCTTCGACTTTTAGGCCCCACTACAACACTATATTCCCCTATTCTCTCACCTTTATTTTTTTTTATAATCTAATTGTACTCTCACTTCATTCATCATCATCCTCATTTCATTTTTTTATAAAATTGTAAATACCTTTTATAAATTTAAATATATTGTTTTCTGGCTCTACTTTTGTTGTTTTGTTGTACTTAGGTTAGGTTCTATTTTTTTTATTTTTTTTTTAATTGTCGCTTCACGACATTTGGCGCCCAACGTAAAAGTCCTCTTTCTCTCTTAATTCTTCACCTTTACTGCGCCTTGTCCATTCCCTTTTGATTTAATTGCTCTCCCTTTCGTTCTTAACTCATTATTCATCATTCATTTATTCATCCTTTTCATACCTTCCAAATTCTAAAACAACACTTCATCTAGTGTTTCAACTTATCTGGATTATATTTAGACCTACATTTAACACTACACTTACATTCATCACTTTAATATTTTTATTGTAGATAACCTTCCAAATTCTAAAACAACACTTCATCTAGTGTTTCAACTTATCTGGATTATATTTAGGCCTACATTTAACACTCCACTTACATTCATCACTTTAATATTCACTTGCATTAATCATTTTAATATTTTATTCTAGGTAACTTAAAGAGGTATAACTTTTCAATTAAATCTTTATTTCTTAAACTTAACTTTAAACTTTACACTTTATATAAAATTGTTTTTCAAAGCTGAAGCGAGACGATTCATAACTTTTCTAAGCATTTACTAACTGTTAATTTGTATATATGTATAAATATCTAAACATTTATTAACTGCTAATTTGTATATATGTATAAATATCACATTTAATTTGTATATATGTATAAATATCACCATCATTTTCACCTTGTTATTATTTCTTTTAATTTGTTTGTTTGTTTGGTAGGTTAATCTTCACTTCTTATTATTTCAGACACATCTCGCTAGTGATGTTGCTGATCTCTGGCTTTGAGCCCTACCGCTCTGGCCGTTCTTAATCTTTACTTAAGTCATAGCGACTAAAGCTTACTTGAGGTATTTCTTTATCTTTATCTTTACTTGGGAGCGGTTGACTACTCTCTTAATAATTTTTTTTTTATCTTCACGCAGGAGCGGATGACAACTCCTTAAATAAGCCTGAATGTCCTTTCGAAAACACACTTTTAAGAGTGGTGTTTCTTCGACTAATTTTTTTTTTCCACGCAGGAGCGGATGACTACTCCTTAAATAAGCCTTAATGTCGTTTCGAAAACACACTTTTAGAGTGGTAGTCATTGAATGTGAACTCCACCCTTACTTGAATGGCAGATGATGTATGTAAGAGATAGTATATCTGATTTTGCCTGGTGATGTCTGTTTCTGCAAAGCTGTGTTTTTATGGTTTATTTTAGTATGTATATATCAAAATTTTTGCTGAGTCAAAAATTTTCCAGGGTCGGGGGGAAAATGTAGTGTTATGCTACTCACGTATCATTTTACATTATTTTAAATTCATTTTTCCATTCTGTTTCGATTTTCTGCATTCACCTCAAAACTGGATATTTTACATCACCTTTATTTCCATAGGATCCTGTAACGATTTTAAACCATAAGAACACAATAACAAATCATTTCTACTTCGTATTTTCACATTATCAGCACTTTTAAATTGGTGTCAATGGAGTCTACCTTTTTTCGATCTTTTAGCTAGTTTTCCGTAATTCTACAATCTCGAGCTTTGTGTGGGCAGCTGCGCTACCTTTTTTCCTATATCAATAATATCTCATTTTCCACTTAAATCTTATAGTTTTCTTATTATAAACCTAAAACCAAAATTTGACATGTTTTGTCTTTGTTATTTATATCGTTTCCATGGTAATTATATTCAAATTTGCTACCGATCTGTTATTCCTATTTCGATAATTCCACATAAATCCTCTTTTCTCTTGACCATTTACAAAAAATTTGCGTATAATTTAAATAATTTTTCCGTTCTCTCTAGAAAAGTATAAAAGCCGAACAATCGGTGAAGAAAGGCAGTCTCGCTTCAGTTCGCGAATTGGAAGTATCTCCTAAAGGCCTTATCCCGGGGCCGCACTGCCCCGGGATCCTGCAAGCCTCCATTTACACGTGAAGTCTTCGGCGAAGCCTTCTTCAAACTCGGGCCGCGCCACTCCGGAATCCTGCAAGCCTCCATTTACACGTGAAGTCTTCGGCGAAGCCTTCTTCAAACTCGGGCCGCGCCACTCCGGAATCCTACAAGCCTCCATCTACCTCGGAAGTCGCTTCGAGTCTACTACAAGCGCGGGGTCCACACTACTCCGGGCACTACTACTACTTACTCCAGGCGCCGAGTGCACCTACCGCCGGCGCTACCTTTGGGCGCTGCAACTGCTGGCTCTAAGCGTTGAGCGCCCCTTCTCCAGGCGCTACGTGCGCCGGCTCCGGACGCTGCGTGTACTGGCTCCAGGCGCTGCGCCCCGTCGCTGCTAAGAAACCTACCTCTACAAGCGCAAACGGCGTGTGCTGGCTTCAGGCGCTGCGTGCCGTCGCTGCTAAGAAACCTACCTCTACAAACGCAACGTGTGTCGCTTCGACTTTTAGGCCCCACTACAACACTATATTCCCCTATTCTCTCACCTTTATTTTTTTTTTATAATCTAATTGTACTCTCACTTCATTCATCATCATCCTCATTTCATTTTTTTATAAAATTGTAAATACCTTTTATAAATTTAAATATATTGTTTTCTGGCTCTACTTTTGTTGTTTTGTTGTACTTAGGTTAGGTTCTATTTTTTTTATTTTTTTTTTTTATTGTCGCTTCACGACAAGTGGTACCTGCCGGAAGATGGCTGTTGCTTCCGGCACGTTTGTCAGAATTACAAGGGCAAGCGGGAACCTCTTGCCCTTGCCGCTGTGCATTTTGTGCACAGCCTCCACTGGGAATCCTTGGGACTTAAGGTCCTCAAGGATCTCATCATTCGAGACCTTGATTCTGACACTTCAGGGGGTTCAAGGGGTTATGTGATCCTTATATGCTTGCCATCTATGGCGCCAATGCAATTAGGGATATATGCATATTTTTCAAAATCTGTAGCTATTTTCTTCCATATATCTTCGCTGGGTTCAGGCATGCCATTTTTTGCGAATTTTTCCCACAGAGCTTACATACTTCACGGACAATTCCTGTAATTGTAGATTTGCCAAGACGAAAGTTGTAATGCAGTTCTCCAAAGGAACAACCAGTACCCAGATATCTGAAACAATATAATCTTAAACTGTATCGTTTTGTTAAAAAAATTGTAAGCTTTTCATTTATACATTATAAGTCGCGGGCACCAGCTAGTTGAATATAATGAGTGTCAATTATTTTATTTAAAATTTTTCAAACTTTTAATGAGTATCTTCAATTATTTGACCGCTCCTGTATTTATAAGTCTACAATTTTGTTAAAGATAGTGATTTCTGTTCCAGGTGTAATATTACAAAAAAGTGGAAAAACATACGGGATGCTTATAATAAGGAATTCAAGAAAGGCAAATCAATTACTTCTGGTTCTGGTGCATGTAAAGGTTCAAAGTACATGTATTTTGACCGGCTTTCATTTCTTCAGAAGACGGTAGAAAACAAAGAAACGACCTCAAACATACATGAAGCCAAAAATGAAGGAATTCAAAACATTGACCAAAACCAAGATAATTTTGTTAATGCACGTGAAATACAATCAGTACCCAATAAAAGGAAGAATACTCAAATTACTTCAGAAGAGCGATTGGCTGACATATTAGAAAATAGCATTGAATCAAGGGATAAAATACAGAGACAATTACAAGAAAGAATGTCAAAGCAAGATGATGATGATAAGCTTTTTTGTATGTCATTGTATAAAGAGTTAAATAAAAGTCCCAGAAAATAAGCGTTTGGCTACTAAAATTGAATTACTCCAGGTAATACAGAAAGGGCAGAAATTACCAGCGCCTATTCATATCACGAACCAGCAAAACACGCCTAATGCAGTATTTTGGCAAAACCAACAATATTCAAACCCACAAGGATATTTTACTGGATATTCTACAATCGTACCAGAAGAGTCTCCATCGCCTTTATCATGTAATAGCACTGACGACTCACAGTCTTCTATAGTACAAAATATATATTCTGATGTATAAAATAAATATCTTACCTTAATGTAATCACGAGGTTTTCTTCTGGGGCCACGCTTGACCTTATATGGGTATCATTAGATGCCAAGTTGTTCACTGATCATTTCTAATAATTCATCAAATGAATTTTTCGACATTCTCAAATAATTGAAGAATTTGGTTCAAAACTTCTTAATTTTGGATATAAAGTCTGAAACTGACCATGGGTGAGCCGATCACGTAATATTGGATGCACCCAATACTGCCGTTTCTTCTTTATTTTTTTTAACGAGCAACAATTACACACATATTGCTTCTTCGACTTCCATGATTGGACTGGAACGACTGTCACTATGCGGATTACGGCACTTTACATCCGCGCCTGTCTGAACACTTGCGTTTAGAACCGCGCGATTTGCATCCGCACGGATTCCGCCATGTCTGAACTAGCTCTTATAGGCGCTAATGTAAATAAGATCCGCGCAGTCTAACCGCGCGATTTGTATCCGATTTGATTTCGCCATGTCTGAACTAGCTCTAAATCAATTACACAGCTCCACAAAAAAAAATTGAACTTATTTTCTCCGATATCTGAGGAGGTGCACTTTATGTTTTTGGGGTTGCTGAGTCCGAATCCGGGGTCCGTTTAACCCCATCACGTCAGGGTCAAAGGCACCTGAAGGTCAAATTGCAGAATAACTAACTATTAAAAATCTGGAAAAATTTATATATATGTTTTCGGGGTCGCTAAATCTGAATCTGAGGTTCTCTTGACTTGATTTTTTTATTATTTTACTTACTAGGTGGCACATTATCTTCTTTTAGGATAACTATGTTATCGAATTTCGGCTCAGGTTGTTTTTTATTCCATTCATGTCTTTGATTAAGATTCACGAGATATTCTGTATACCATATGTTCCAGAAGTCGTTCACCATTTTTTGTGTTAGCCGCCATCTTTCTAGGTTAGTGAAATTTTTACAAAGTGTATAATTTTCATCTACTAAGTTTAATAAAGGCTCACCAACCAAGAAGTGGCCTGGTGTCAGTGTCATCATCATCGGTCATCACTTAACACTGTTATAGGGCGTGAATTTAAGCAAGTTTCTACCTGTGCTAATACGGTAGTTAATTCTTCGTATGTAAGTGTACTGTTACCAATTACTTTTTTAAGATGTGTTTTTGTGCTGCGCACTCCAGCTTTCCACAAACCCCTAAAATTGGGCGTATGAAGTGCCATGTAGTCGGTTCTAGAGTCAACAACCCTGCTACTTCTCTTGGAATAGAAGACATGGCATTATCAAACATCTCGTTGCTGCTTATCTGCTCCGACAAAATCTGTGCCATTGTCACTGTAAAGTTCATGACAATGGCCTCTTCTCGGCCTTCTCGTAAATTGCCTGAAAGCTGCGATAAATCTCTTAGCCGTCATTTTGAAAGATTTTGAAAAATATGCAAATTTCCCTAATTGCATTGGCGCCATAGATGGCAAGCATATAAGGATCACAAAACCCAATGATTCTGGATCTTTGTATTAAAATTACAAAAATTTTTTTTCCATAGTGCTGTTGGCACTTTGTGATAGTAACTATTGTTTTTCTTTCATAGATATTGGATCATATGGAAAAAGTAGTGATTCTGCAATTTTTAAAAATTCGGTATTTTATAAAAGATTAATAGAAAAGTCATTACACATACCAAAACCTAAACCAATATCTAACACAGATCCTACGCCATTGCCATACGTCATAGTTGGCGATGAAGCGTTTGGTTTATCCGATACTGTAATGCGATCCTATGCAGGTAGAGGGCTTCCATACGGAAAAAAAAAATTAATTACAGGTTATCAAGAGCTCGACGTTATATTGAATGCACTTTTGGAATCCTGGCAAACAAGTGGCGCATTTTTCATAGGCCTATAAACGTTAATATAGACTTTGCCGAAGACATAATAAAGGCCTGTTGCGTGCTACACAATTTTGTTAGAACTAGAGATGGTGTACAGTATGAAGATACTTTATACACTGCGCCAATGAGTAATCTTAATACATTACATCCAGGAAGGGGTACACCGTCATCATTAAACATTAGAGACAAATACGCTAATTACTTTGTAAATGAGGGTCGTGTAGAATGGCAAGACACAAAAATATAAAATTAAAATTTGTTACAGTTCGCACCAAATAACTAAACTCAAGATGGCGTCGCGTCGGTTGCACATAGTCACTAGCTACTCCTTTACTGTGGTAACGTGATATTTTTCCCGCGCCCGATACTTACCTCCAATCACAATAACAACATTTTTATATAGTTTAGTTATTTGGGGTGGACTGTCAATTACAAAATATGTAAGCTACCCTTAAACACTTACTAACCAAAAAGAACCTTTTTTTCCAAAGAATTCTCATTTTCTCCAAAAATCTCCACCAGCTCCTGCCAAGCTCCGTTTCTAATAATTTTATTACAATATTCTGCACATTGGATGTCCCATAAAGCAGGTCTCTTTTCCACCTCATCGATGAATAGCTCGGTGTCGAAGCGATCCATTGTCACCGTCCGATACGCGCGGCTTACGCAGAGAAACTGAACGCGCTCTAGGTACGTAAAGTAAATAGATCCGAGCGGCGACCGCGCGAATTCATTTTCTAGCGGTTGAGTGGCGATAGCCGCGCGGATTGTCAATCCGCGTGGACAGGTATGAACGAATTATAGGCGCTAATGTAAATAAGATCCGGACAGTCTAACCGCGCGATTTGCATCCGCACGGATTCCGCCATGTCTCTACTAGCTCTTAATTACACTTCAGCGGAAATCGTACAATGTAAAATTTTTTGAACTGTATTTGTTATATAATAAAAAGGAGTTGATCAATAGATTTGCGCTCGCATGATTAGTAAGACAACATTTGGTCATGTCGATCGATTGCTTTCATACTTTTATTGTATTTAATAACCATTTGTGGCTTTGATTTCAAAGTACCCCGTCGATTTCGCGTGCTTTCTAAATCCCCATTATATTTACTTCATATAGCCCTTATTTCTCTTTGGTCTATTCATTTTAATACACAAATATTATTCTTGTGAACAATGCATAATTCTCCTTTTTTTAATTTAGCCGATTCAATTTCTTTTGGATTATTTTTTCTCTTTTGTCGAAGCGTACCTGTGCAAAAGATTTTATTAGAAAATGATTTTTGAACTAAATTGACGCTTGTATAAAAATTGTCTACGAACAAAAATGATGTCCTACATTATTAAAATCATGAAGCAAGTGGTCAACTACTTATTGCACGTGATTTTTGCCGCCTACGAGGGCATGAGATACACCGCCGTATAAATGTACTTTCATAATAACCTCGAGCTGGTCAGCCAGTGCGTAGAATTTTAGGCCGTATTTATGGCGCTTTCCCTTCATATATTGTCTAAATGAAAATCGTCCCCGCCATAACATCATTGATTCGTCAATGGTAATTTTGTTTGTTGGATTATATAGTTTTTTTAGTTTCCGGAAGAAACGTTTCTCTTTCACCTTGAAAAGAGTCCATGGGGCGCCAATCAAAGTGAAGAGAAGTCACAACTTCGAAAAGGTCCGCACGTCCCAAGCCATCTGCCTCATCATCGTTATCATTATCTACTTCCAACCTTCTCTTTTCGGACCTCCTCTCCCGAGATTCCCTATTAGCCACCAGTCCCACAACCCTATCTCGCAAATCCTCAGGCACATCGTTATCTGTCACATACTTGTATAAGTTGGTCACCGAGCCGCCAAGGTAAGGAGATGGGGGCGGGAGCATCACGGGCACGTCGACCGCCTCGTGTCCGTCGCCGGCTTGCTGTTACCCGCACGCCCCGCTCAGCACCACCACTCGAACTCGCCACCACCACCTCATGGAAAAGATCGTGTTCGTCCGCGAACAAGTACACGTCACCGTCCAACCGCTCAATGACAACGACCACTTCTGGACTAACATTTCGCCTACAAAAGATATATAAAAATAATATAATATAATAAATAAAAAAAAATACCGATCTAAAAAGTGATATGGTTAAGTTGCATACAGAATATACATTTGTTTCAAAAGAAAGGGATCAACTTATACCTTATATTTCATTTTCAGTTACTTATGACTATTTTATTTCATATGTGAACGACAGTATTTGAAGTACCAATTTTATAAATTTAGTAAAAATTGTTACGAGACGAAATATATGCAAATAACTTTTTTTTAAACTCTGTAATTACTTACCCTTTGTATAAAAAACTCACAACAAACTTTCCTTTAAAGGGTACACTTATAACTTATTATTAATACAGTGGCTTCTTGCACTGGCGCGGCGATTTATATGTAAACGCGACGCATCATGGCGGAAACTAGAAATTTGACGTAAATTCTCTTAATTTATAGAAGCGTAATTTAGTAATGAGACTAATTCTAATAAAATTTTTAGAATTTGAGTTGTATAATTCTTATAAATAACATTTAAAAAAGAATTGTTTTGAGGGATCTACAAAGGTGACATTTGACTGCCTCATGTGGATTTCAAAGATTTGACAGATTTAGCTGCCGTTTCTTGAATAATTTTGGTCTTTGGTCATTATATTAAAATATCCACAATTTATTTTCCTCCTTCTTGGTTAGTTGTCTTCATAGTAATATTACATATTGTTTTTTAATTTTCAGGCAGCTTCTATAAAATAATTATTGTGGCCTCTTCTTGTATTCTATTTATTTACTTTTCGTCACATTCGGTATTGCGTCCATTCCGTTATAACATT